AAACCAAACCAACAAATTAAACCAAACAAACAACCCCTAAACACCACAAAACCAAACAGAATAAAGAGAAGCCAAACATTTTCCATGTCACCAATGGTTAAAACAAATGGGTACAGAAGTGGGGATGCAGTTACAAGATGCTGTGGTTGCAGGAGCCACTCTACTACTGAAGAAACAAGTAATGAGCTACAAACCACTGCTCTATATCTGCACCTTGCAGCTGTTAGAAGCAATGAGTGACAGATTCCAGAACCTTCTTTTGAGTTTTGAATTCAGTGTCAGTTCAGAGGCATTAATCATTGTCTCTCAGAAGCAAGACCTGTTTGGTTTTTTTTTTTATTGTGATGAGAGGAAGATGCTACTGTTAAGTTTGCCCGTGGGATGTTGTGAAGATCTGCCTCCTTGAACAGCCAAGTTGTTTCACCTTGTACAGTGACCAAAATTTAGTGGGAGCAATAACCCCAAATGTCCTGACAGCTGGAAAGTAGCAACGGTAAGGAGGAGCTTCTGAGCAAGCCCACTCTGGCTGGGATGCATGGTAGGGACCCAAAAGCAGCACTTCAATAACTTCAGTAACTACAGCCAGTTTTCCTTCCCTATCCCCTGACACTTCTGGTTTTTTTGCAAGTCAAGGCATGGGGTATGGCTAAACATTGGCCATCTCCCCACCTTGGGCTGGCAAGGGAATGATGCAAAGTACGGGGAATATCACAGCTCACCTCTGTCTCCACTTCAGAGACGAAAGATCCAGTCTTCTGGGCAAACCAAATCAGCCACAACCTGACTACTCAGAGGAATTTCCAACTGACAAATAGATCAGAGATCTCTCTCTGTTCTAAAGTGGTTTTGGGCAAAAGACACAATATGTTTCAAAATGCAGGGCTAAATTTATAGATGTAGTGCAATACTGCAGATATAATAGATTATTGGACCGTGATATACGTTTTTGTGTTGGTCTTTCCACAGACAGGATCCTAAAAAAACATTCAAAAACTTTAAATGGTGATTTCACTAAAACTTTAAAACTCTGAGTCCTTCTATATATTAAATATACAGATACATGTGGATAATTTTATGACCATAATTACCTCTCTTCATAATTGTAATGGTTTGACATCAATGAAACTCCAAAACTCTGTGTGGTTTTATATAGTAAATATATGGATACATATAGATGACTTTATAACCTTAATTACATATCTATAATTGCATTGGTTTGTGTATACACACAAAAAAAGTGATGTTTAATAGTCTTTCTTCCAAAAGATCAAATGTGAAACAAAATACATAGTTTTTCACATTCGTGTGATCCCTTTGGGGCGGTTTCTACACTCTTTTCTTAGGGCTGGAGCTCTAGACACAGCATCCAAGCACCAGGAGAGTAGCAGGTTCACTACTGCAGATTCACTACAATCAGAGCCCTATTCCCTTTTAAGAGAAATCAGTGGATATTCCAAATTGAAAGATTTTGTAACTTGGTTTTACACCTATATTCACAAACAATGCTGCCTCAATGGCTTTCAGTCTCAAGTGTGCATGACTAACTGGTAATTTCCTGCATTTCTGACATTCCATGATCTTGCCTGATGCTGCCAAAGTTTGTGACTACACAGAAAAGCAGTGTCAGGTTGAGAGTGAATGACCCCCGGTAAGTTATTTTGAAATTGCCAGACTTTGCTCTGCAAGTTTAGTCTCTCATAGCAACGTGGGCAGCATATTCTGTGCTGGCTTCATTAAAAGAAAACGATTCTGTCTTTCAGTTAAAAAAAAAAAAGAAAAGCTGTAAGTGTTGAAGCAGCATGCACCTAATAAGCGACTTCTAAATCTGGCTCCATCATTTCAGTCTGTGGACTAGCAGAACGGAGCTTGCAGAATCCTTCTCAAGTAAGTATTTCTTTCTCTTTGCTGCATGGTTTTGTGGTTTTGGTTTGTTTTTTTTTTTAATTTAAAATTCATAACAGGTAGTAAAGAAGTCTTCAGCCTTGAATTAGTGGTGCTGCAATATGACAACTGGATGCCTGCTTTAAATATGGATTAACATACTCTGTTGTTTCATTTGGCAGACATTGCTGTCTTTAAAAGGAAATAGTTAATACATTAAGGTACAAGACAGCAAATTATATGGATGGAGCTTCCTAAAGCTGCAGTGCTGGAAAGCAAATGAAATGATTTATAATTGACTGACATGATAGGGTTTTTTAAAGTGAGTTATGTATCTTTTGTTTGCATAATGCACATCATGGAACATGTCTATCTGATCTTATCAAAACTGCAATATGTATTCTGAATATGCTACTGGCTATTAAGTATGAAATTATCAAAATTAATTATATCTTCAAGAAAGGAAAAATTCAGGCAGTGGCATTAATATTAATAAAGTTAATATATACACATTGAACCTAGCTCAGGTTTGTATTAAATGATGAAGGAAAATATATGTAGTGCATTACTTTGTCTAATTATACAAAGTATTAGTCAAACATCGATAAACCAAACAGGGTACAGATGAAAAAAATTGTTTGTATGAGAAACAACAGAAATGCATAACATTTGCCAAAACAAGCAGCACATACTGTAGCATGCTTTCTGCAAGAGTATATAAACAGCTCTGATGGACATGTCTCTTTAATATAATGAATGAGGTGGGACTATGGCTGTGGAAGGAAAACAAATTACAATATTTTGCTTTGTGTTTAAATTGCAAGTGTTGTAATAGAAAGGGTTTAGGAACAGGCAATGCAAAGGGCTACTTCTACATTTGGTATGCAAACACACGCATATCCAAATACAAACAGACCTTTTTTTTGTTCTTATTTAGTCATACCTGCTTATCACCAATTGCTGTGACATGCAACTCTGATTGCAAACATGCAGGTTTGCAGCCCTCAGCAGAAATATATTGTAGCTGCATCTGAGGCATTACAGAACCAGAACTAATATTCTGGAAACATTTAGCACAAGCACATACTATACCTCCAAGTAATATTATTTGTCATTGTTTTTTTATGTAGGGAAAATTGTGCTGCAAAAAAATTCACACTGTTTAGTTAACTTCTGCAGAAAACTACATAAATACTTCTCTCCTGCTCAAGTTACCCATCCCTCAACAACCCATGACAACAGCAGTCAAGGTTAAAATTACCACTTATTATTAAGTTACCACTTATTTCTCTCAGCTATTTTCAAATTACTCAGAACAACAAATTTCAATACATACTTCCAGTCCAACTCATTTACATGCAAGGCAAGCTTTTTTTAAGCAAACTTTTTCAGGACTTATTGAAGCATGGAACTGGAACAACCATTTCCTTTTTACTGTGTAATAGATATAGATGGTTTTTGACAGATTATGTGTATGCAGAGATAAAGAATGGAAACAGAGATAACAAAATTACTGTGTTCCAGGTATGGTGAACAATAATATATCCTTCAATTTTCAAGCAACATTAAGCTTCCCAAAGGCCAGCTCTGAAGAGCCTAATAAATTAGAAGCCAATAATGGAGAGGTTTATTCTGACATTTCACAGCCCTTCCCAAAATCTCAGGAAGGCACAACATAGTAATAATAAGACCAATAAATAGTGATATTTACGGTACCATCCCCACAAGACTAAAGGCGACATCAGCGAGCAGAAATGCCACTAACTAACTTAGGTCATTTCCACAGCTGTTAAAACTCTCTCAACTAGAGGAAGCAATCCTTGATAACTATTTCTGAGACAGACTAGGAGAGTAAGGAAGAGATAGAGAGCTGCCTTTGGGAAGCCTCCAAGGGAAATGGTGACTTCATGACTGAGGGGATTGCCCAGGTAAAAAGGCTTATTCCTTCCTTATACTTTGTGATTTTTCTAATCCTGCAAAAAATGATCCTAATGAAATCCAACAAACCTAGTACAGGTCTATGGCTCTTATGAAGTCAAAGCCCCCATATGGGGGGGCAGGATTTGACCCACTTCAAAGAACTGTGGATTTTTGTATTATGCTCTGGAACAACTTGGTCTAACACATAATTCAATAATTTGGATAAGCTCATTGGATGGGAAAAAAAAAAAAAAAAAAAAAGAAGAGAGAGAATATCATAGCAACATCTTATTCCTTTGTGGTTTATGCATTTAACAAAGACTTACCTTCCAGTCTTAAACTCCCCCCTATGTTTAACATTTAATTAGCAGAATTGCATATTCCTGCAGATATAAAAGAAAGATGACAAGAAAAACACTGCTGTGCTGAAAGAGCTCTTCAATACTCCTTAAAGCATCAATGAGAAGGACTTTGGGTAGCCTTAGTTCACCACTTATTTGGTATCAGATCAGAAAGAACATTATATGGCTTCAGAGACAGCAAGGCCTTGCAGATTGTGGCATCCAGCATAAATTAGGAATGGATTAAAGTAAAATAAAATAGTATATAAAGTATATTAACTTTAAAATATAACATGATTAATGAGTGGGAAATATTTTCATTCCACCTGAAGAAAAAAGCATTGTATTTTTATACTAAGCCTCATTTTGCATGAGAAACTAAATCCATTCCTCTCATTCTTCCTCTCTACTGTCTTAAATTTTCTCATGCTTTTTTCCCCCTCTTCTTAATGATGGCAACGATGATAATAATAATGATGGTGATTATGATAATGATTATTATTGGGGAAAAAAAAGAGATAAAAGAGAGAGGAAAATGAGGGAAATTGTGTACCTAATTTGGAAAGCCCCATGACACTGCCAGACTTCCTCAAAGAAGGACATGTTTAAAGACTAGGCTCAAAGGATTTGACTCTTTCCTAAAAACACACACATTTTCAAGGAGCAGTGGAAGAAACTAAGACTCCTCATCTGTGTATTCTCAGAAGGATCAATTATTTTATGTCTTTTCACCAAGCAACTGCAGAGTGAACTGGAGACACAGAATCAGATGCTAGTGTAATGCAGATGACCTACAGCTCTACCCATCCCACAGCACGGCCACAAAAACGGTGCAGCGTGTGAAGAAGAGCTCATGGAGCAGCTGGCTAAAGCAGAAACTGAGCAAGAAAAAGATGATGTTGGCAGAGGACAGAGAGCATTTTGAGGACTCATTCTCAGTCAAGGTACGCAGCCGCGGTTTGTCACTTAAACACAAACCTGATAGACAACTGTATTCTGATGTAACTGTTGTTCACAGATGCTATTAACTTCTCCTAGCTAGGAAGCTCTATCCCTCTTGGATGGGGACAAAAATTTATCAGGCAGGTGATATCTCAAGCTTTTTAGTGCTAAGAAGTCCCAACATGAAGGAAAAGCTGTGGTGTTTATGCTCTTAAGCTTGGCCTAACTAGTGTGCCACTAATCCATTCCAGCCTCATATCATTTTGCATTCCTCTCTTCCAAGCAGTCCATTGTCTGGACTAGGGATAAATTAAAAATCATTTAAAACACTTGGAAAAAACCACAGTCTGCAGCTTCATTTTTCTGGCTTTTCTCAGCAAGAGTAAAATTTCACTTCATGGGAGAGAAAAAGGCTTTTGGTAATTAAGGGTAGCCAAATGTCATTAGCTGTTGTCACAAGTGTCTTGTGTTTCTCTTTGAAAAACTTTAAAGATGTGAACAGTAATATGTGCCCATGGTGCCATTTTATACTGCTAAGGAGTAACCAACACAACGGCCAGCATCTTACAACTGATACTAATTTGGCTGCTTGCTCAGTAATGGAAGGTGCTCTGACAGGATGATGCTGACTGCAGCAAGGGCCTGTGTCCAATGGAATGTTGTGCCGGAAATGAAAAAATTTGTTACGTTAAAACATTTTGTGCTTGCATTTCTCTCTTTAATTTTTCATTTAAAGCTATAAATATAGCTTGCGTTTTAGTTGGGTGTCTGTCTCTAATTTTACTGCAGCTGTAGCATTTGCCAGAGAGCAGTGGTTCTGTTTTCAGGGTGGTGCAGGATTTATGCCAAAAAAACCATCTCTTCTCTAATGCTCAGCATTTCTTACAGGCCTATCACAGCTCTGTCTAGTATACAGCTATAAATTAAATGAATCAGACTTATGGATGTTGACAAGAAAGATGACACAGCAATTTGTTGCCTTTAGTTAAGTCACCCTGTAGCTGCAAAACAGATAAATGTTTTACTCATCATGGTGGAGAGGTTGAGTAATGAGAATTTAGAGCAATTTAGATCCATTATATCTTAAGATTTAGATTCAAGGCTGAATGCAGACCCTGACCACCATGCAGATTCCTGCACAGAAACAGAAGTCTCTGTTCTTTAAGACACCACAGTAGTTTTTCACCTCCTTTTCATGCCAACAAAACCTACAATTTCTTAAGAATTCAGACTGATTTAATGGTGGCAATACTGGTCCAATTTTCTGTTTGTCATAACATGTAACATAACAACTGATAAAAAAAGGAAAAACTCATTTCAACTTGTTCCCATAAGCAGTCATGCATTAAAATAAAAGAGCTGAATTTTCATTCTACTGGTCCTGAAGACATCTAGATCTTACAGACCCATAGCAAATGTCTGCTTAAATTCTCCTTAGGGCTGAAACACTTTCAAACAGAATCTAGTGAGGTAAAACCAATACATACAACACTGACTACATCTCCACTCTATTAGAAATTATTTGTTCCAAAAGGAAACAGAAACAGTGAAAGTAATATTTAGTGAATTTGAATTTTTGCTATGTGAGGCTTAGCATTCTAGAAATAGATATTTATTAATCTGAAAATGTGGTGGAATTTCTGGAGAACAACTATATAGAATAATGACGAGAAGTATTTAATGAAATGCCATCTTGATGATGAACCTGCTGTAGGCAAACTTATATTAAAAGCAAATTTCTATTTGACAACCATTACAGGAAAAAAAAAGAGAAAAGGAAACATCTGTTAGAAGAAAACCCAGAGAGGAACATCTGTATTATTTAAAGGGGTAAACTGAAGTGCAAAACTGAAAGGTCCTTAAAAAACTTCAAAATTAACTGCATTAAGTGTGAAGAGGACTGGATAAGATGTGATGAAATTTTCATTAAAGGCAGGAGGGAAGAGTACATCTGAGCAAGAATGGGCACTGGGAGAGTTGGGATTTAGCTATTTTAAGAGTGGAGTATCTGCTGAGGGGTGTACATATCTTTAGGGCAAACTGAGAAATTTGAACTGAATGCCATTCCTATAAATTCTAGTGAGTTTGACCTTGGTGCTTAGGCAATATTTCTGAATAGTTGAAAAGCTGAATGAGAACTAGGAACATAAATACAGGAAATACACACCATTATAATGGAAAACTCATTCTTTGCTTCAACAGGTACAGTACAGACAGCAGTGATATTATGCATCCAAAATCCTGGAGTCCACTCACCGACTCTAAAAGGCTCTGGAACCAGATTTAGTTGTGCTTAAAATAAACCTCAATATTTTTTAAAAATCAGATTTACTTTTTTTGTTTTAATAATAACTTAAAAGTTTCTTATGAATCTCAAAATGTAAAAAACCTTTATACATATTTGGGTTTTTTATTGTAGATAATCTGCTGAAGATATTCTTGTTCATGTATCAAGACATACTATTAGATACAGAAAAACTTAGTACTAAAACTGTTGAATATTGTCTGCTTTGGCCCAAAAATGATTATATCTGCCAGAGCTCTACACAAAAAACTTCTGGTTGTCATAACAACATCCTGCAGCAGATAGTTTGTACTTGCTTTTAATACAATTAACAAAAGTTAACATCTCCTGAAGATTAAAAGCCAGGGATATTATTTAAAAGGGAAGGTGGACTTAATATTTTTTTAATTTTTAATTCCCACAAAAGTCAGCTTTTAATTTAAAATGTTCAGTCTTTAGTCTGAAGAAATATTCCATTGCATCAAGGCATATTTACAGGTAACTGTTATGCTCCATGTTTATACAAAATATGCAGGTTTATAATATTGTCTTTGTAAAATGACACTCAGAATATAAAGAAGCCTAAATTTAGAAAAATACTGATGTTTTCCTAAGGAACAAGTTTACTAGAAAAATTCCTGAATGCTTCAATCTTGTCAAATGCAATACTAAGTCATTATGAAAGTCCCATTTAAGCTATGATCTTAACTATCATTCCTTTGTAAATGTTCCAGATTCAAAAGTCATTTTATCAGGAAAGGATCAGTGTCACTCTGTTTATGTTCTTATATCAACACTCAAATAGAATAGAACATCTTAGCCATTGCAACACACAAAATTACAAAGTGTATCCACTCGTGTCCCTAGAAATGCTTCACTTGTGAGCGAGTCTTGATGGTATCTGGAGATATCCCCTTGATCAGGGTCACATCATGCAAGACTGGGTATCACAGAAGTGCACAGAAAAATACAGTCCTTTCCTAATTTAAAGAATACAGTCCCTTCCTAATTTAAAGGCCAGTCAACGGCAGCTACAGACCAAAGTGCAGGTTTTGCTCAAAGGTGCTAGACAATGGCAGAGCTGCTGATAAAGGCCAATCTTATTTACAGTGAAGTCTGTTACTTAGGTCAGACAGTTTTCACTTGATTTGCACAGACAAACTGTTTTATTCCAGCAATGGTGCCCACCATTTCTAGAGTAGGACAAAATTAATGCATAGCTTTTACTCTTCAATGTTAACATGACTGGTTTAGAAGAATTTAGTAAACTGACAAGCATCCACCTAGCTGTGGCATATTGTAGTAATAAATAACAGAAGAATTTGAGCTCTCTGAAGTTATTTATTTCAAGAGTACAGCCCAGGCTACTGCAGCAAAGTATTGCCATTCACAGACACACCTGCTTGCACTGAAACAGGAAAATCCCTATATCAACTGTCTTCAAAGCAATTTAAATTTATAAGGTAAAATAACTTGAACATTTCAAAAAATAAGTCACTTAACATGTGGAAAATAAATAATGAACATCAATTATTAAAAAGTTCAAGATATCAAACATTCAGATTTTTAAGCTTGTTTTAATATTCAGCTTCTCTATTTATACACATAATGGAAATAATTTCTGCAATTCAGCTAGTCTCTACAGAATGTTTTGATGAACTTACTTAAGAGAAAACACTGAATAGTCACTGTTACTACAAACTTTGATAGCATCTGTTCTGACCAAGATACATAGAGATGGATGTGAAAAGATCTGTATCATTTAAGTAAGAATTATTTTCCATTTTGCACCTGTGGATAACTTTTTTTTCTTAATAATCAGATATGTCTGTGTCTTATGGCTAGAAAGTTATTGTTATGCAGAAATCATCTGAAGAAAGATAAGCAGCAGTATAAGCAGTATGACACCCACAGGTGTTATGTACCTTACCTGAATTACCTATAGATAAATGCTAAATATAGCATTTATCTATATCTATACCTCTACATATATTATACTGCTATGCAAATAACAGCTTTCTGAACAAAAGAACTCTTTTCTGATAATAAAAGACAATTATATGATCCATTTTTATTGGCTGTAACACAGACTTTTTAAATTCATACCTAAAAATTTGCACATAAGCAATGGATAGATGAATTTATGCTTGTAGTTAACATTGCTTTATTCGTGTACAAAGGAGCCCAATCTCTCATGAATAAAAAAGCTCTTGTCCAAATAGGTACAAGTCATTACAGGTTCTGGCTCAACAGTGAGGCTTTCTCTGTTTCTGAAGTAGGCATTATTAATAAAGTCCATTAAAACTGCAGAACTAACACTTTGCCAAGCTCTAATGGATCTGGAAGGCGAAAGACCTAAGATGGATTAGCACAGATCCTGTGTATTTCAGAATCCTGTTTGCTTCAAGAGTTACATTAAGTTTGTACAAGTCTGTATTGGACATACTGAAAAATCCCTGAATTCTGGCTTTGCAAGGAGAGTAGTGTTGTATTGTTCCCTGACTGCATTGAAAAGGTCATGAAAATCTTTTTGTTGACAAGTGAAAGCATTTGCCAGCCTCTGTGCAGTGTTAGCATTCACATTCAAGTGAGAGAGGCATAAATTCATCTAAAACAAGACAGTGTGAGCAAAATTTATGCATTTTTATCAACATTATCTCTGTGATCAGGATAATGTTTGTAGCATGCAAAGCAATGGCACAGACCCATAGAAATATG